TAAACACATTTCTTTGTTATTACTTACTATTTCTGCAATATTAGATGCTTAGTTCAGATATGGTTTAGGGAGATGTATTTTCCCTGCCCTGGTTCCTTGCTGACTCCGAGAGAACAAAGGAACACAAAAAAAAAAACCCCTTCCCCACATATTTGAAAGTATCTTCTCCCCTTATTGGTCCTTTTGGCCAACCAGGTTATCTGAGCTTCTTAACCCTTTACAGGTAAGGATGGATTTTATTCTACCTGTAGCTGTATGTTTATGACAGGTACTATTTCAATTTTGACAGGAGACAGTTCTGGAGTAGAGAGGTAGGTCTGTTGAGTTATCAGCATAAGGGTAATAGTACAATTTGGTTTTGTGGATTAGATAACTCAGAAACTAAGAGCAGAGGAAGAAGAGAAGTGGACCAAGAAGAGCACTCATAGACCCCCCTCCCAAAAGTTGGAGGTGGAATAGTTCCAGAGAAGGAGCCCTTAGAGACATAAGAGGAAAACTAGAAAAGGATGGAGTCAAAAAAACAAGAAAGGGCAAGTTTTTGAGAAGAGCATGGTTGACTGTGTTGAAGGAGGCTGACACATCAAGGAGGATGAGGCTGGAGTACTAGTTCTGATCTTTCTCCGGGAGGAAGTCATTAAGGACTTTAGTGAGAAACATTTCAATGCAGGAGGTGGAAATCAGATAGAAGACATCTGAGGATGGAACTGGAGAGGAACTTTAGACAGACACTGTAAACAACATGTTCAATGACCTTAGCGATGAAAGGGAGAAGAAACATGGGGCCAGTAGTTGGAGAGGCAAGTGGGGATAAAGGTGTTTCTTTGTTTTGTTTTTTTAAGATGGAAGAAATTAAAACATGTTCATATTCTGGGAAGCCAGAGAAGAATTGGTTAAAGAGAAGAGTAACTGTGAGATGAACATGGGCACAATGAATATCTGGAAATGGGATGGAATGGGCTCACTGGGACAAGTGGAGGGGTTAGAGGAGGAGACCAGATGAGAAACTTCTGCATTTGTGCCAGGGAGAAGGAAGAGAGGAAGGGAATGGGAAGGTTTGGTCAGCATAGGGGAGGGGGAAGGGAAGGAGAACAGAGTGGAGGAGAAGGGTAGTCAGGTAGAGGGAAAGGGAGAGTCACATTGTATTTTGTCAGTTTTCTTTTTTAAAGACATCCACAAATTCCTGTGCAGAGAGAACTGTAGGCAGTGTGGGGCAGAAAATGTGAGGAGATGGTTAAAGGTCAGTTGGTATTATGGGTGTTGGCAGGGCCAATCAGAGGGGGGTTTATGGCAGGAGGGCCATTTGGCCTGGGCCTCAAGCTCAAAGGGGCCTCAAATTTAGACACTTGTTAATTTTTCGGCATTTGATAAGTTTCGCAGTTTGTTTTTATGTGCATCCCTATCAGACCAAAATGTGACACACTCTCTCAGCTTAGAGCTGCAAATTTAAGCAAATAAGAGATGTGATTTGGTAAAAGATATAATTTTTTTTGTTAACTGATATAGATTGTCATATTAAAGAATTAAAAATGTTCATAAATATTAATAAAAATATATCGGTTCTGATGGCACAAGATTAGACCATGATGAATGTGTCCTCTCAGATCAGCTGATTATATAAACAAACCACTACTAGAGGCTGGTGCTGGATCAAGTGCATGTTGAAAGGTAGAGAATTGTTACATTTTAGTGTCTTTATAGTTTTACGGCTAGTTGACTTAAGTAATTATCTATGTGTGAGAATTCCTCATTATTATCTCCATATGGTAGCTGAAAGTGGTGACTGGTTGGTTGGTTGGTTGGTTGAACCCTAGCTTGGTAGCTTGGCTATCATCATAGGTTTTCATAGTCTATAGGCCCAGATTCAAGGGGTGAAAGTTTGTGAGGACAATCTTGTACAGTGAGTTTCATGAGGACACACGTTTGAAATTTTTGGACATTATCCCTCTGTCTGTATCCGTCTCTGTGTTTACTATATATATGTCATCCCTTTGTCTTCAGATCAGTCTGTTATATTATACCTTGCGTGCTTGAGTTTTGACTCAGTGATAAGGATAATAACCTGTCTGACTGTTTCATTTTGTGTTCTTAATTAGTATTCCTTCGTTTTACATCTTTTCAGCATTTGTGTACCATTCAGCATTTGTGTACATGTTTACAGTAGAAGATTTCAAGTGTAGATTAGCTACTTATTTACAGCAGAATATTTCAAATGTGGATAGGCTACATATTGACCAGATAGATCACTATGAACGGGAGATTTGAAAGTGGTGCAAGCAAGAGACGGCAAAAACAACTGAGTGAAGAAGCAGCTAAGAGCTCAAAGTCAATCACTTCATTTCTCAAACCACTGTAAAACACACCTTACCCAACAAACAATGCTACAGATGAAAACTCTGCAACTGCAAGAGGTGATATTTCAATGTTAATACCTGAACATGAGGACAGTAATCAAGAAAGAGATGTGCCAACAGTAACAGATGCAGCAGAAGATCCTGTGTATGATCAAGAAACTCAACAGCAACAGGAAGTTGTAGATCTTACGCAGCAAGAGCAATTCATGACTACTACAGGTTTTACTGTGACTGACATTGGAATTATTGACAAGAGCAATGCTGCCCAAATACAATCTTTTCTTCAAATTAGTTGTTTTGAAATTCCAAGTAACAGTCCATGAGATGCTGATAATCATGCTTTCCCTACTCGTCTGCTGACAAAAACTCTTCCAAA